TTCATAGAGTTTTTGAGTACTTAAGGCTGGAAGACATCTCTGGAATCATCTAGTATGATGCCCAGCTCAGAGGAGGGATCAGCTCTGCATGTAGACTGCAGTGCTCAGGATTACACAGAAATCTTGGATTTTGAAAGATCAGTGTTTTTTATTTAAAGTTACTGTATGTGATGGAATAAACTGAACTGTTTGGGGATATTGTAACTTTTGGATCTTACATACGAATCTTAATTGAAGGACAAGTTAAAGAGGGAAAGGTGACAAGAAGGGTGGGTGGAAGAGGAGAAGGTTTTTATTACTTTAACTTCTTGCTGGCAGCTTAGCTTCCAGTGAACTAGTCATTGGAGTGAAATAGACATTCTGAGGAAAAGACAAATAATATACAATCAAAACTGTCCCCCAAATTCTAGTTTTGATTGCCAACTAGCAATTCTAATAACTTTTATGATTTATGTCATTAAAATATAGGTATCTTTCAGTAAATTACAGTTTGTGTAAGGTTTATGGGCATTATACCTCCTGAAGAGGTCTTTAGAAATAATTTTTCTTTTCTAGAAAGAATTTAATAAAATAAACCACACTAGAAGGGAGTAAGGCATTCTAGTAAGAGGTACAGAAATGTCATACCTCTTTCGACAGATGAATCTGATAGAGACTCAAATTTCGTTTCCATGTTAATGAAAACAAGTGAGAATCAACAGCACTGTGAATTACATTTTGCTCTAAATACTCAACCTAGATAAAGTGCTAATTAAACTACTGCGTGCAAGTTTACAGGGTTAAGTGTTCTTTTTTTGCTAAGGCATTTTTTGGATGCCATGTCTTGGCAGTACTGTGGTCACCATTCCTTAGCTGAAAGGTGAGTAAATAGTCCCATATTAATTGAGAAGTGTATCTCGTGGCTACAAACACTTGTAAACTGTGTGATCTGTTATCTTAATATTTCATTGGTATCTTGCTTTTTGCTGTTCTAAAATATTCCATACTATATTTATTTCATACCATAATTTTTGGGTAGCTTTGTTACCATGACTGTTGCATCATTTGGAGACAAGATTTTTAATTTTCTCTGGGGTGCTGCAATTGCAAAGCCTGTTTCTCAGGAAAAAAAGTAGTATTGCTTTGTCTATTAAAAAAGGTCAGTTTTATGACTATTTGTATTTTTACTTTTGGTGTGAGAAGGGATTTGCATCTGATACATTCTCTTGTATCAATTCTTAGGTTTCTTTTCAAAACATTTCGTTTCATGATTTTGTAGAATGAATTTAGCAAAAAACTAATACATTTAAAAAACTGAGAAGAATCATCTTGGCAGTTCTCTGTGTACTTACACTGCTGTATCAGTGGTGTTTAAGGTATAAGAACACTGTGCATGATACACCTCAAATACTAGAGAGACCTGGTTTCTAATACTGGTAAAAGGGGGAGAATCCATACTATATGAAATGTAAAATGTATAATTTAAAAACTGAATTCAGTATTTTTGTGTAGATCTGCTTTTTACAATTCACATTAAAATGAGTTGGAATTGTGAGGAAATAAAATTTTTCATGCTTGTATCTAAAGCAATTAGCAAGTATAATTCTGTATTTGCCATCATAGCAATTTTTCTAAAAGCAAATTACTCAGATAAATCGGAGGATTGTTTGCATTAATGAGTTCTGAAGTATTATATAAGAATCCTGCAACAGAAGTAATTTGGAAAGCTTTCTTCTGAGTTGTGTAAACAGTGCTTTTACAATAGGACATTTTTTTGGTGTTTTTTTGTTTGGGTTTTTTTTTTTTGTTTGGTTGGTTGTTTTTTTTTTCCTGACCTTCTCAAAGATTACCATACACTTTCCTACATGTTCTTTGTCATATGGCTTTCTTTTCCCCCTGTATTGCATATCATCCATTTTTCTTGTTCTCTTCCAATTTAAGTTGTTTTCCCAGGTACCAGGTGACTTCAGAGGTTCTTAATCGCCACATATTTCTCTATTAAGAGTTTAAACCCTGCTCTCTTGCTGCTCAGTTTTAACTCCCTCTTATGGGTAGTTATGGGTGGCTTTTGGGAAGGGACTGAAGCAGCTACTACTCAACTGAAGAAAGGGCAGTCATATAGTGAGGAAAAGAAGCTCTGAGAAGGTAACACTCTCATTGTTGAGTTCTGCAAAGGGCTTGATTATCCAAAAGTGAAGCTCTCAGGTGGGCTGTAATTACCAGCCAGTACTGGTTCAGCTACTCTGTCAAACTGCCTGTTGGTACTCCTTTCTCTGTCATCTTTTGGGCAAAACCCATGGACTAGTTGACCTGACTTAGTTGCAATAACATGTTTATGCTCACATAGTAAAGAGTTGTCTAGGACATGATTTGTGTGTGATAGGACTAAATTTTTGTTATCATCTGGACTCCTGCAAATACAAGTTTGCTAGTATGTCGAGCATTTAATGACATAATGATACATACTATCAGTTAACATTTGAAATTGGGTATTTTCTCTGACAGAAAATTTGTGAATTCTGTGTTTAACAGTACAGAAGAGTTTTCCTGTGCTGAAAATTCAAGGAATAATAAGTTATGAACATGCAACAGTAGGAATAATAATAATAATAATTCTTGCAGGCACGTTGATAAGCTAATGGGCAGCAGAGATCATAAGGTACATTTATGGATCTTGATTCTGTTGCTGAAATACTTTTTATACTGTACGAATTCAACACCAAAGTTAAAGCTACAAAAATGACAAATAATTAATTCATGGGTTTTGTTACAAATGTTAGACTAGACTAAAAAAAAAGTAAAAATAGCAAGTTCTACCTGTCTTGCTACTTGTGGTTAACTGAAGACTGGTAACATTTCAGGCTGTGAAAAAAACTGGTTTATTGCTGGGAGGTAATGTGCTTTTTAAGGAAAGTGTACATTAAAGCTTTACAGAGCGAGCTAGTGCAGCTTTATAGCTCGGTACTTAACATCCTTAGCTAGCCAGTGTTGTACTTGGCCCTGCCTTATATGGCACTTGTCATATTAAAGAAAGACCAAACACTAAGCAACTTGCAGTTGAACCTGACATGAGTCAAGTAAATTATGTGCACTAATGCAAAATCTGATACTTTGTCTTGTAGCTAAAGAGTATCTCACAACTGTTTGTGGCATGTCCTGTCGCATGTGCACATATGCCTGTATGTGTGCACACACAATCTAACGAATATAAATTGATAGCCATGGTGGTTTTCTGTCAGTTTGGGCTAGGGATTGACATTAGGGATGACAGACCACTTTCCTTTTTGCTTCCTCATGTCAGGGCTGAGGTGTACAAGCAGACTAATATCAACAAAGTTGTATCTGATTTTGTGACGTTGCTATCATTTTATGGTTTGATTGATCCTAGTGGGGGTGCTGATTTTACTTAAAATGCCAATGGATGTTACTGTGAAAGGTCTGTCAAAAGTAGTTGTATGCTCTGTTACAAATTTTTAACATGGGTTCTAGGGTCAAAAGAAGAGATCCTCCTTAGTGTTCCATCAATGGCCTTTCGTAGCTGGACCTTAATATCTGCATCTATCTCTTAGTTACCAGGCCTTATTTTTCCTCTCCACACTAAGTCATATTCTTTTGAAAATAGTGTGTAATCTTCTTATGTTAAGTACATTTTCTAGGTTAATATGAGCTACTAGAAACATTGAGAGCTTTTTGTCGTATATCTTATGGCAATTTCCCATAACAGGATATTTTTACAAAATTATTGATTCTGTTCTGTCAAACAATGATGTCTGCCACTTGAAGTGTGTGGAGATAGAAGACTCACATTTGGCATCCCAAATATGATTGACCAAAGTGGAGTTTTGTGAACCTGTAAAATTCCTGTGAATGTATTTCGGTTTTATTAATATTTCCATGTAAAAGTTGATTATAAACTGATTAGATGCCTAGTATATGGATTTGTTTTCAAAGTGCATCTGTACTTATGCTCTTAAATCGTAAGTGGAATGATGTTCAAAATGAGGTAAATTGTTTTGCATATGCTTATTCTTAGCACACGTGTGTTTGCTCAAGCAGAATATGTTACCATTCTTGTAAAAAATTAAGGAGAAAATTTTCAATTAAGGAGAAGAGTTTCTTTAGCTTTTGTTTTGAACTGTGAATTTGTTTCTATTTAATCCTTTTGATGTAATGAGTAATACTGCAATCCTTGAAATTATCTCTGATAGTATAATTTGTTTTCCTTTAAGTGATCATTTTTTGCCACTCTGGGTACTGTCCTTTGAGTATTGTTTCACAGCAGGCCGTGGTTCATGGTTAGCAATGTCAGAACTCTTTTGCTGTTGGGTGACTGAGCATCAGTTGAATCTGGATCACTTTGACTTACTTGTCCGTTTAGTATAAATGCATGTTATAGTTTCTGCTAATATACTACAGTTTTATGCTGGTTTCAAAAGCATGGTCAGTATCTGAACTAGCATATCAATAGCATAATATCATTTATCAGAACATGTTCTGCCACCAGGTTAAGTCAAAACTATTGGAAAAAAGATGATCTGGCAGATTGAGTTTATATACCATAACACATCAGAGCTTGGTTTCCAGTCAACACAAGCATTTTTGAATCATGAAGCCAGATTGACTTTTATTGAACCACGGCCTTTAGGCAATACTGTAATAAGACTTCTTTATTTACAGTTAAAATGTAAATATACTTCTTATTAGTGAAAAACACTGCGTGAAGATGGATTATTTAAAGTTGATCGCATAACTATTTGGGAGCTTTAGACTGCTGCATATGATGAATTAAACTTGTGATATTTAATCTTTAACACACAAAAATGTACAGCATTGCTATATTGAACTTCCTAATCCATTTGATATTACAAAAACAAAAGAGTATAGTTAACTTCGTTCCTTGTACTATTTTTAATCGATGGAAACTTTTGAAAATTTTAACGTTTTTATTTTTATGGAGTAAATGGGAATGTTTTAAGTTCTAAGAATGATAGGTTGATCATGAAAACTATGTTTACTTTCAGAGAGAACAGGAAATGAGAATGGGTGATATGGGTCCTCGTGGAGCAATTAACATGGGAGGTAGGGATCTGAAGGAAAAAGGCTTCTGTAATGTAATTTTTTTTTCTTTGGGACTGTACATGTTACTCAAGCACTATTAATCAGTGACAACTACTGGTAAAAAGGAGTAAGCAATATTAGGAAGTAAAAAATCCCACATATTTTGTTTCCGAACAGCTTTCCCTGCCCCCCCGCCAAGGTGTATCTTTATTTTATTGCTTTGTCTATACATGGGAAAAAAAATAAGATGTGCAAGTTAAGAAAAACAAAAATCAGGGAAAGATGATGCTTTGGAAATTATCTGATACAAAAGAGGAATTTTATGTTCAAAAAATATTTGACATTCTTTTGGAGGGACTGTCTATTCAGAGAAGTTTATACTGTGATTGCATGCAGTGAAATGATGGAGCGGTCAAAATTGGCAAGTTCTTGATGAGATTAATGAATAACGTGGTTGGTGCTCTACTAATTTACTGCAAATTTGTATTTGCAAATATTCTCAGTTTGCTCTTGTGACTTTAAATATTGTCACTGCTAAGAACTGTTCCTGTGAAATCTAGAAAAGTATGATAATTAGTGCTTGCTCCATATATGCAGACCGAAACAGTTTGAAATCTTACTTATCCAGTATATCTGCTTTTAAACAAGACTGAAACTTAGAGTATTTCTTCAAAAACACCAAATCTTTCTAAACTTTATTAACTGTCAATATATATCTATCAGAAACTTCCTCGTGTTAATTTAAAATAAATTAAGATGGTAATTTAAGGAAAAGTAGTAGAACTATTTTTCTGTATTTTAAACTTGAAATTACATATAAAACTTAGTAAACGTTGCTTGACCTTTTTGAGTAATGAGAGTTTATAGACTAATGAGTAGACTAACAAATCTGCTTGGTTCAGCTTTTAAAATACATTATTCACTATTTCCTTGCATTTATTAATTGAGACACATTTATAGCTGCAATATAGAAATAGGTTTTTTCTTTTGGGGATGATGAAAAGCTTTAAAAATAATTCTAAAGGAAGATGTGAAGTTATCTATAAGTAATGAAATGAAGCATAAATTGTGACTAAATTTTTTATTTTATAGTTGTACTTTTGCGTATCGTTGCTGCATACTTGAAAACTTCATTTAACTAAGAGACTTTGTTGTGCAGATCCACAAGATACACTTTTTACATCCAGATTTTAAGTGTGTATTTACTGCAATTCTTGCCAGGTTTTAATGCTTAACAGTGATGTTCATAGTCTTGTTTTCTAGCTTTTAAACCTAATACTTTTAGAAGTAAATTGTGTAGTTCCAAAAGAAGTTATAGTAACACTGAACAGCTATTTTAAAATAGCCATAGCAAACAGTCTAGATTTTAGGTTAGCTGACTATAGAGATTTTGGGTTTTCTCCAGTATTTTAGCAACTCCACAAGTACAACCAAAACAATCTGACCCTGAAACCTTACAGTAGACCTTTAAATAGTAGATCTTTAGTTACTGACCTTTGCATCCATTCTCAACATTGCTGTCAGAATTGTAACTTTATTTTTAACTGACCTTTGCCTGTGCCATTTGCAACATTTCATCATGTGGGACAGTACAGAGCTGGAGTATCTTCACAAATGGAAACATCTGTATTATATTAATAGAAGGCAGAGTACCTCTGTGACAGATTTAATAAGTGTTGGGCTGACTTGTGCAGAACTGCTCCTTTTTGTAGTTTTCAGTGAGAAGTTCTGGGAGAATCTGTATGCCTCATCATAGCACTTAGCTGGATCTGTAATGCTAAGTGCAGCTTTTAAACTTCAATATGGAAAAAAGGAACTTTTTTTGGGAACTGTCTCTGCATTGATGAGGATTATTGACTGGCGTGTTGCCAACTGTGGCAGACTTTGGTATGTGCAGTTCAGACATTTATAGTGTACTTTTTCAGCCCTCCAGTTTGCAGAAAAAGCCTTTTTTTTAGTGTCTGTGCATTGTTGCATGAACATCTGTGATGGCTTTCCATCTGTTACTAAACCTGGTCCTGTAAATTAACTGCTAACATCAGTGTCCCACCAAAAAGAACGGGCAATCAAGTTGTTAGGTTTTAGCGTCTTTTGGGCGACCTCTGAATTAAAGCTAAAATACTGTAGTGGCCTCTTGCTGAAAGTGTGCAGGGCCCCACTCTCTCCTTGTATTGCACTGTGTAATTTTCCTCCTGTTAGAGCTGACTCTGCCTGAAACAGGATTAATATTACAGATGTCATAGTATAGGTTGCTATATGTCACCCTAGAAGCACTGTGGGTGCATTTGTATGATACGGAGCATGAGAACTTTGTTGCAGTTGACAGCGAAGTAATGCTACCTGTGTGTGGCCAGCTGGCTCAGTTTAATTAGCCTGAAAAGCCAATAACAAGTAATTTAGCATTTAGGTAATGGCACTGCTGCCCGCACTGATCGCTGCCAACGTGATAGTCCTGCAGAGTAGGAAGAGCATCTGAAAAGAAAAGGTTCCTTCTTATATTGGCAGTTTAGACTTCTCCTTTTCCTTCTCTACTTAGCCACAGAATAGATGATACTAAAAGACAATTTAGGGGTAATTCTGTTGAATTGTAACATGATCTTCTACCCGCTTCCTGAACTAATCGTGTGGGTAGGTAAGAAGCATCCAGCTTGAGCATATCTTTGAGTTAGTGTCATAGGGAGAGGTCTGGGAATTTCTCATCACTATGCTCAAAAGAGCTCTGCTTTTCAAAATTACAGGATTTTTATCTCTTGTGGTAAACTTGTTTAGCACTTTACAGGTGCTGCTGTGTTGCACGGATTGTTTTTGCTAAACAGTTTGCAGTTGACATAATGATCAAACCCAGCTCTTCAGTTTCAGCAGCAATATCTTGGATGCCATGGTTTCACTGACTGTTTTGATATGTGTAATCAAGGCAGGTAATACAGATGTAATTTTGCATACCTGCAGATAGTCATAGTACTTCTGTCTGTACTGAATGGCCTGCTTACAATGATGTACATTTATGTATTCGTTACTGAAGAAGTACAGTTGTGATGAGAAGTGAGAGGGTTTATTTTTAAAATAACAAGCTTATTGGTCTAGCAACATATCCGACTTCTTTGTATTCTTATGGTGTATACTTTTAAGTGTAGGCTAAGTTCCAAAGGTATTTTCATTGAAAGGAATGGATTATTTGGGGGTGGGGGAGGAGAACGCATCATCACCAGTCTTGATGATATTTCATAATGGCAGATGTGAGCTATATAATCAGACTTTTTTCTTTCTTACAACAACAGGAGAAAATGTTATGAAGGCGTTTTTACCTACGTGTTGAGTATGTTAATGAGTACTGGCAGAGTGGTGTGTCCTAGTGCAATATTATAGCTAAATGATCTACTCAAAATATGTTTTCAAGCTTTTTTCTACCTCTTACTTTGAATCAGAATTTTGGAGGAGACTGTTCTGTCACTTTCAGTTCTAGCAAAATTTCCCATAGTTTTCTGGTACTTTTCCCATAATAAATTACAGCTAAATACAAGATTTTATTTATGCTGTATTACAAATAATTTATTGTGAAGCTGAGTACCATCTCTGGTATTGCTTTTACTGTGCACTATATACAATTAACATAATATTGATAGAAGAGTACTTGTGAATGTACATTTCATGTGTTATAATCCCCAAAGAGCCAAGTTGCCTTATAGCTGGCAATATCTGTAAAATGACCTGAGATTTTTGCTAATTTGTGCTGTGTATACTGCATATATATGCTGTATGAATGCTTCAGTTCCTGCACAGAAACTGTACACCTGTAAAGCTATAAAGGTTGGGATTTTCAAACACATGAGGCAAATTATGTAATGCAAAATACTAGGGATTATTGAGAATCTGTTTAAAAGCAGATGATTGAGATAAATGTACAGTCTCAAAGAATGTATTTTTTTTTTTTATTTCAAGTATTTGAAGTCTTGTACATTTGGCTTTTTAAATATTGTAAATTGTTTGTTTGTTCTTGTAAAATTAAGATAGGACAGCTCTAAGTATAGATTGTTTTGCATAGATGCGTTTAGCCCAGCACCTGCTGGTAACCAAGGCCCTCCTCCAATGATGGGTATGAATATGAACAACAGAGGAACTTTACCTGGCCCTGCAATGGGTCCTGGTCCTTCCATGGGACCAGAAGGAGCTGCAAATATGGGAACACCAATGATGCCAGATAATGGAACAGTGGTAACGTATCACAAATTTAATTACTTTGAATAGCTGTCATGTCTCATGGCCCATTTTTGTTACCAAAGGTATTTTCACGCTGAATAAGAACGTTCTAGATTTTGAATCTGTTAATTGTTAAAACTTGTTCATACAAATAATGTACAGCACAGAAGGGCAATGTTTTTTTGACATTACTATGAAAATCCTACTTCCCTTAGGAATGGTAATCTGTAAATTTAGACTTTTGCTGTTCTTTTCTTTTGTAAAACTAAATTCTATGAATTAGCTTGTCAGAGGTTTTGAACAGCTAAATGTTGGAAGCTATGTAGTGTGAAGATATCTTTGTGTAAACTATTTAATTTTTTGAAGCAACTTTAGTGTTCTATTTCTTTTCTAACACTGTAAAATGCATGAGAATTGTGACAGTAATTACACCACTTAGAAAATCAGTATGCCAACAGCTGTTGGGCATAACTCTCATATCAATACAGGAAAACTAGTATTGCCAAATTGCCATGGGTGGTAAGGAATATCTTGTATACATCTGGAATTTTTAATCAGAAGCGATAGACCATTGGGATGCAGTTAAAGCACTAGCCATTTTTGCTTTGTTCTCATAGCCAGATGGTTACTTTTCCTAGCTGTAATGTCTTATGTAGAGAAACAACTATATTATTTTAAAATCTTTATTATTTTAAAATAGTATTTTCAATACTATTCTGTTAATAGATATTTGGGTTACTGGTGGTATGATCTAAAGTGATTCTGTTATAGTTTTATTGGAACACGGAAGCATTTTGTAGCTGCATCTTTTTATATATGCCTTCTCAACAGTATCTGTCTGTGACTGAGCAATCTGTATAATGAAGTTTGAACAAAAAATTTTGTTCCTTAGAGGAAAAATGAGATTTTGATTTTGCACTACATATATGATGAGTCTGGTCTTTACAAATTAAAAAGGAGAGGATCTCACTTCATGTTGTAGGAGCCAGCTCATTTTATCAGTTGTATAATTTCTCATGAAGGAGGGAAGATGCTATTCACAAAATACTGTTTTGGGAGATGCTTTTGCTGTAGACCACTGTGTTATTGGTCACCTCTAGAACATTCTCTTGTGATTATACAGACATAGAAAAAGAGGCGTACGGAAAAGAACACAGTATCGTAAATCATGGTATCTAACTTAAACTGTTGTTTTTCTACAAAAAGTCATTCCAGGTATGAAAATGTAGGGAATGTACTGACACTTCAAAATGCATGTTTTAAAAAATGTTTCTTCCATTTTCTTCTGCATGCTTCTGAAGGACAGATTAGGTTTTATTTTTTGCTTCATTTTGGACTTTGAGTGTTTTCAATTTGGAGGACAGGCCCCTACAGAAAGGCGTAGCCTTATTGTATTGTTGCTCTTGGAAAGACGCTTTAAAGATCCTGTGAGAGGTCTCTACTAAAACACTGTAACAGTTAATTTCCAGTGAGGGATATGGAGACCATGCTTTATAGACCAGAAATAAAAATTTAATTTTTTAAATTTAATGTTTTTCTGAAGTCTTAAGAGGAAAGTTGTAGTAATCTTCTTTTTGTTCCGCTGCAGTCTTTTGAACCACAGATTGTCTTTAAACATAACATTTTCAAAGTAGCTTCCCCCCTGTACTTTATTGGAGGTTGTTAATTACTGGAGTTTTCTCATAAGCTGGAGAGAGGTTTCCTTATTGGAAAGAGGACTTTACTTTTTGGCCAGAAGTCAAATGGTAAAAATTATCAGGAGTACATGATAAGTTATTTGTTGAAATTCAAATCCATTGCTGACAAACTGGCGTGAGTTAAAGATAATTTTTAAACAGATTTATCCAGTGCTGCAGATTTAAAGGTTCTTTGGCTCAGTAATAGTTCTTTATGCAGCTCTTGAAGTAACATTTCTCTTATTCAATGTCAAACACATATATACAACCATGATCTAAGTTGCATATATTTTTATCTTTATAGATTTAATGCTGTTTTCTAGCAAAATATATGTGAACTAGCAGACTTTAGAACTGCAGAGCTCTGCTGCTTTTTCTGGAGTTAGGCTTTCAGAAGAATTCTTTTCTGATTCAGGCATACAAATAAAATGCTGGTCTTGAATGTCCTTGTTGAACTCTGAATACCTGGGCAGTTAATGTAGATCTCTATGCAGAAGGAATTTCTTTTGAAAGCATAACTGTCCTCAACAGGTGAATGATGAGTTATTTCCAGATCTGATTCTACCATGTATCTGTGCTTTTAATGGTTTATGTTATGTTGAGTTTATGTTTTAGGTCTTAATTGCTAAGCAAATAAATTTGTGTAAGCATATATACCTTTATTAATATTAGGCACAGAGCTAAGGAAAATAAATGTGGAATATTAACTGGATTTTTATCCTAGATTGATATTTCAGAATAAGCTTTAGATACATATGAAGTTTTTTTAAACTAAGTATAGTCCAGTTATGCATTTTGTGACTAATGTAATTTTATTTGGATAGGGTTTTAAAAGTCTTAACTAAAGATTTCTAAAGTGCCATGTAAAAGACTGACTCCAGGTAGCATGGACTTGAAGTATCCACAGATATATGGATATAGAAGTCTTCATGTTATATTGCTATTAAAAGAATAAATGTGCTCTATCTGGAAATAAAAAAGCTGATCCTCCCCAGCCCCCAGTTTGACAATGTTCTGTGTCTAATTTTTTTAAGGGAGAAGCATTGTAGTTGGTATTTAAGACAGAATAGCGCTCAGGTATAAAACTGTTTGCTGTCTCCTCTGTTACATAGAGAATATATATTGCTATAGATGTGCTTGTAAAGATGAAGTTACTTTTAGCACCAGAGTTGATCTTAAGTATTGCTTTTAATTTTTAATTTACTTTACAAAGTTGGAGCATAACATTAGCACTCTTTAATTTCCAGCTCTTTTCCCATAATAACTAATTGAATTGCTCCTTTCTTCCTTCTATGTGTGATCCTGATTCTACTGGACTATCTGCTGAACTCCATGACAACACCACTTGTGGTTTTTGTTGTAACTCATATTTGGCATGTTCCAAATGGACTTGTATTAGCATAATGAGAGATTCCCTCAAGGAGGTCCATCACAGATGGGTTCACCTCTGGTTAGTAGGACGGGCTCTGAAACTCCTCAGCCGCCAATGAGTGGTGTAGGTGCCGTCAGTGGTGGACCTGGTGGCTTTGGTAGAGGAAACCCGGGGGGCAACTTTGAAGGACCTAACAAGCGTCGCAGATACTAAATCTGAATTCATTCCTTACTGTTTTAGAAATTCCAGTAAAACTATACAGTATATGCCTTTATAATTTTAGCTGTTATCTGGAAGCGGTTCTATTGTTATTGTAGTCTTTAAAACAGTTTCTTTTGTAAAACTTTTTTTTGTATTCAGTCATAGGCTTTGTAGTATAGAGCAGAAATGATGCGGATCATTATGTAAGGCAATGTGTTTGTGACTAGCAAAATACAATGTGTGACTATGCTGTAAAACGTGCAGTTATCTGATAACAATAAAAAAATCACTGGAAAGTATTTTGAGAATGTTATTACTAATACTGAGTGAGAATAATTTTATGCTTAATTATAAGTGGCATCATTTTCATTCTTACGTAGTTCCTACTATGTGTCAAAAAAGTTCCATTCTTAATAGTGAATCTGTTTAGCTAAACTGCGTGGTGCAGTACATACTATGAAAAACTTATAACACAGCTGCTTTTGTTTTGACTTTGGAAGAGCATAAAATTTTATACAAAGTGTTCTCAAGGCTACTGTGTCCTTGCATCTCAGTGTACCATTGCAAACTTAGTCACAATAGGTTTATCAACAGAGTATATCTGTTAAACACATTTTTAGAAAATTTAACCTGGGAAAGAAAAAACTTTGGAAAGGAATCTGTATGTATGCTTTACTTATAACAAATGAATGAATTTGCCTAAACCATACTTATGCAGAAGAAAATTTGTTGTGACATCTGTGTTCTGGTGATGGTTAAAGTATCTTGCCATTGTGAGGAAGGAGACATTTCTGCAAGCTGGTTTGAAGCCTTGCACTGTGTAGTGCATCATTATTAAAAAGTATACATTTTCCCCAGAAGTTGTTTTGAATAGAAACACATCTGTTATCAATGTGTAACTATTTAATAAGGAAGCAAATATATGTTTTCTGGTGAAAATAAGTGTTTGTTTATAGTTGAGTAATATGCATTTAGAAGGATTGCACTAGTGTTCTTCATAAAGGTTTTACAGAATGACGAATTTGAAAAATACCCAACTCAGGATAGACTTGCTGATTGAGTTGTAAGATAAAACTGATGGTAAAGCTGTTAGGAAGCTTATTGTGATTCTGATTTTGTCAGTCATGGAAGATGATGGAAAAGACCTATTGGTTCTATTCCTGTAATGGCAAATAAGTAGGGATGTAAGAACTGTTTTTATCAGTTCGCTCATATTTTCAGAGATAGAAATGACTTAATTTTATCTGCATGAATACTGATACTAAATTGATTAAAAACTGATTTGAGATAACCTGGTGCCCTAATTATATCAAAACAGTATATACATAGCTGAACATGGAAGGCACATAGCAGAGAGGGCATGTATGTGTTACTTGTTAATGTAGCAGTGATAGTCTTGGTGGCTTTAATATTGAGCAAATGGGTAACAAGAAAATTGCAGCATTGCTGGAATTTTGGAAGTACCCTGTTACTTAAATTGCCAGTGTAATAGGACTTAAGATAGCTATCGTTTTCATAGAATGCAGGAGCTATGTGTAGGTCCTTACTTGTGATATCTATAACTGATAAGTGTTTTGCTCTAGACTGTCTTTAGTGTTACCATTTTTTGCTTGATTTGAGTTACATGCTACACTTCATAGTTTGTAATACAACAGCAAATTATGCTCAGAGTGTGAAATACTCTTTCCCCTACTTGATCTATGTATCACATTATGGCAGTCATTCTTAAAATAAACCACAACCAAAACTGCAACTGGTTTTGCTTA